TTTATTTTGGTGTTAGAACTTTTAAATTTAGTGTTTTAACTCCCAAAATTTATATTTTAGTCCATGAATTTTAAAAAAATAATCATTTTGTCTTGGACTCTATTTTACTTTTAACAAATTAACCTGAGTGAGTATATATTTTAACCAAATATGTTTGAGTTAAATATTAAGGAAAAAAAAGGTACTGGGTGACAAAATAATATACATGGACTAACATGGTTACTTTTTTAAAAATTTGAAAACTACGAATAGATATTTTTTAAAAGTTTGAAAATTAAAATGGAATAAACCTGAAAATTCAACATCTAAAATGGATTTAAATCTACTTCAGAAATGAGCCACTCCTAATTTTTGAGGGTGTGTTATATCATTTTTGAACTTCTAATTTTTTTTATCATAGACAGGTGCTATAACTAGACTCATATTGACATTAAATTGATTTTTTTAATTGTACATGAAATTTAATAATTTGATTTTTGTAATGGAATATTTAACCTAGACATGCCTTGCTTGATTATTTTCCCGAGAGAGGGAGAGAGTCTTAATTATCGAGCGTTAACTTTGGGCTTGGAGCTGTATTAGGCCCATGTTTTGGTGGGTAATGCTGCAATAGCCAGAGTTATTCACATAATTTAAAAGCTATAATTACACAGCAGTATGTGAATCATATTATACATAATATTTCACAAAAACCTATTTTTTTAAAAAAATTATTTATGAATCTAAGTGACCTCAATAAATATCATTATATTATATTTAAAAATGTGTTATTTCTGAGTGAGAATGGATGATCATTCAATCAATGCAAATGTTTACCTTAATGATTAAATGATAATATTTTAATAAATAATTAAATAAATATAGTAATTAATATATGCACTTATTTTTCTAAATTTTTTAGTGGCTGAAACATGGCAATTAGCATCTCAATTTTATTCTAAAATCCTTCTTTCTCTATTGTCGAGAGAGTTTACTGCTCCATTGTCTATCAAAATTTACTATAATCTCTCTTTAAAAACGACATATTCTTCTATATTTGCTCTATTTTCATACTTAATCCAAAAAGCTTCTATATTAACTACTATATAGATTTTTCGTTTAAAATATTAGTAGATTTTTGTTCAAATAATATTTTTCGATCATTGATAAAAGGTGAATAGCATAAGTTTTTGAATCAAATGACACTGTTATAGAAGTTAAAAAAATTAAAAAAAAATTCTTTTTTTGAAATATTGGCCCAACTCGAAACTCGTGGCTGGCGTCATAAGTAGGTTCAAATTTCACATTCTAATTCGAACTAAAAATTTCGTTTCAATCCTCTGACCAGCCAATTTTATTAATCAAATATTAACCAAAAAAAAAATCCTTTATTTAATATTTAATTTTTTTTTTAAGAAAAAGACAAAATGAAAATAACACCACTGTACTTTTAGCTGGCAAGTAAGAAGGTATTCCTTGTACTAATTTGAAGTTTCTTTCCATGCCGTTGGAAGCATTATTCAAAATAAATACAATAAAATAAAATTACTCGAAACTTTAATTTTATCTTTTGCTTCTCCAAATTAACTTATTTCTCGTTATTTTTATTTAATATACCAAAAACATAATCCTTTTCATATAATGAAAGCCCAGCAGCTTCAATTCCCCAAATATGCCTTTATCATAAAAATGGAATTCTTCCAAATCAGCAAAGAATTTCTCTGAAATGCGTTGAGAAGATGGAATAATTTAATTTTTAACTATATATTTCGGAAAATTTTATAATATTGTATTAGTATAGGAAAAAAAAATCATACCTATATCTAATATTTAAATAGTAATACTATACCAACTTTACTGAATAAAAGAATTAATGAATGAGAAAACAATATAATATGCGTAGAATATTGTTCGGGTCAAACTGTGAACATTCAATCTGTTTACGACAACTTGGACTAAACGACGTAATAGGTCGGTCTCGAAAACTTTGAAGGCGAAAAGTGATATTCAGACCAACCCAAGGGAGCAGGGAGCGGACTGGTCCATAGTTGGGACCGGAGATCACTTGGGGGAATCCAACTCGAGCAAGGTTATATTTTGATGGGACAGCTATCTACCTCATTGACCGCTATAAATACACCACTCCTCTAGATGTCCAGGTATGAAAATCTATCTGATATTGATCCTCTATACTGACTTGAGCGTTGGGGTGGCTTACCTCCTTGTAGGTACCCAAAAATCGTTCTAAGTGCACCGATCGAATCGTCATCCGTAGCTTGACAGATTTTCACATCAACAAATATAATACAATAAACTTTTTTATAATTGATGTGCGATATTTTTGGATGAGTGAAAAAAGGGAAAAGATACAATTGAGGAGAGAAAGGTGTCGTCATCGGAGTTTGAGATTTTTGTAAAATACAAAATTATAATTGGAAGCTAATTTTGTGGGTCTGTGGACCACTTTGGAATCTTTTTTTTTTTTTTTTTTCAAGTGAAACTGAAAACGAAAGCACTGCCCTCTCTGTCTGTTTTTAAGAATTTTAGAAAAAAATGGATTGGTAAGTTTCATAATTATTTTTGGAATAGAATAATCTTGCTGGCATGATTTCCATTTGCCCACCTTTCTTTTTAATAAAATAAATTATTATCATCCAATGTATTCTGATTCTCACACGGGAAAAAAAAGTAAGAGATGATTATGGAATTTATTTATTTTAAGAAAATAATTATAGGGGACTAATTCTATGCCGACCATGGTTAAAAAGTTGACAGTCTATTATTATTATTTATTTAAACTATGTTTTTACATTTATGCTTTTATTTGTCCAAGAGAACACAATAAGAGTGCTTAGCATTTGAGTATTTTCCTTTGTTTTAATTCAAGTAAGAATGTACTATTCAATTTACAGTAATTCAATTAAGAAGGGACTTTTCTAATATATATACATGTGAGCTAGATTTCATAGATTTATAAGAAAGATTATTTGTTGGTTTTCGATTTCTTATGATAGATCTACGTATATATTATATATTTTTACAGAAATAGATAATGGGGATCAAATTGAAATGAGAGAAATATAGGAGTCAACTGAAATGAGAGCTATTGACTATAATGGTTAGTGTTTGCATATTTTTCTTTGTTTTAATTAAATTAAGAAGGAAGATTCAATTTGCTGACCTTTAGAATAATCTTATAAGGTCTTTGTAAATAATGTTTTAGCGAAGCATGAGAGAAGAAATGTTGATTTTTATTTGTCTATAGTCTAATGTGTGGTTATTTCAAGAAGTCGAATACATTGGCTATTTGGTATAGAATTTAAAAGGTTTAGAGTCGCCAAAACCCTCGTGTGAAGAAACCTTATGGTCAAAAGTATACGCGAAGAAAAAAATATAGCTACGGTTTGAATTAATTATATCAATAAATTATTTATTATTCTTTCATTAAAGTTTCTATCATTTTTTTTTACAAAGAAACATTACATTAAATAGAAATAATACAAAGGGTTACATCGGAATAGTGGTGACCACACATCATCATCGCAATTCATGAAGAAAAACAATGGTTCCAAAAGACATAGAAACGATCAGAAATAACACACTTGACCAATAGAATAGTTTGTCTATTTAAAGAACTAGGAATATGAACAAATTTTGTAGCTCATTAAACACCTTCTCAAAAGTCACTGGGGGAGAATCCTTAATTAATTGAGGTATCTTGTCAATTATGACATCCCTATTCACAATTGGAAGGGAAATAATTGCCCTTATTCTCCACCATGATAGGTAAGGAATGATTAGGCAAATTCTCCAAATCATGTTGGTCACAAATCTTAATACAATTAAGACTGATGGCCTCCCCATATTCCAAAATGGTGTTTGAATCGATTGCCATTGCACCTCTGTCGTTGCCCACTTGTTGCTTTGTCTTCCTTGGCCTATTGTTATATTAAAAAAAGACAGAAATTAAAGAAAAAGAGAGTCAAATATCATAACCTTGGAAAATTGACCCAAACGTATGACCTTTGGATTTTGTTGAAATATTAAGGAAGTACAT